TCAGCAACAGGGATCTCTGGCAATGAGCGAACCAACCAGGAACCGATTGTGAAACAAATGGGCGGGAAGAAATGGAGATGGATTGGCCATACGCTGAGGAAACCATCAAGTAACATCACTAGAGAAGCCATTGCTCGAGTGGAACCCGAATGGGAAGCGGAGAGTTGGTCGTCAGTGCAAGGGTGACTTGGAGGAGGTCATGCGAGGAGGAGATGAAAGCATGTGGACAGACCTGGAGCGGGGTGAAAAGTTGTCAGAAAACCGAAGGCAATGGAGATGCGCGGCTGAAGCCCTATGTTCCCCTAGGAATTAAAGGATATAATAATAGTAATAGTAATAATGAAAAGCATGCTCTATTGTCAGCCTGAGGGAGGAGCGATGGCAAGTTCATTGGGTCCGAACTGGGTACGTATTTACGTGGCAACTACAGAGAACAAAAGCTGAAGCATACAATCAAGTAAGTGCCAGTATACACCAAGTCTATTGATGATGCCTCCAGTGTTTGTTTTATTCTTTTACGTTCCCAGTGGAACATAGAGCTTCTAGCTAGAGACTTGAAGTTTCGGTAGCCGTGGTGTTTAATTTTACGGGATGAAGTTGCTAGCCTCATGCTCAACCTTCCTGGCCTTAGGACAGTGACGAAATTTCAAGCTTGCATTTTCCTGTCTACATAATCTCGAGTGTTTCTCAGTTACGTGACGAATACATTGTTTAGCGTTCAGCTTTGTCTCACTTTCAGACTGTGATACATAATCACAGAAGAACAAAATACGAATTTCGCAGAATTCCTGACATTTATCCTGCTCACTCTCGTTTAATGACACTGCATCATGCGCGATGTTCAGACTAAGTGTCTGTGTTATGTACTGGTCGAGTAATTAATAGTCCTGACGCAAGAAGGCAGAAATCAGAAAACCACCAGGTTCACGATGATACTTGTATTTTTCAAAACAAGGAAAATCAATGTCACACAAGTGTATGAGCGAATGTTCAAAAATGAACGAATCAATAGACAGTCCTGACATGTCATGTGACAACAAGGTCATACATATTTATTTAGTTAGTGGACAGAGAAAAACATATTGTCAGTTATAATGAAATATCGATCCACATACACAGTTAAATGTAATAGACTGTCAAAACCAAAACACACACACACATCATATGGATACATATCAGTCTGTTTGAAGCCAAGAAAGATGACATGCTTCAGATTTGTAATACGTGTGGTGATCTACTGACTTTCTACAAGACAGTCTATTATATTTAGCTGTGTATGTGGATCGATATTTCATTATAACTGACAATATGTTTTTCTCTGTCCACTAACTAAATAAATATGTATGACCTTGTTGTCACATGACATGTCAGGACTGTCTATTGATTCGTTCATTTTTGAACATTCGCTCATACACTTGTGTGACATTGATTTTCCTTGTTTTGAAAAATACAAGTATCATCGTGAACCTGGTGGTTTTCTGATTTCTGCCTTCTTGCGTCAGGACTATTAATTACTCGACCAGTACATAACACAGACACTTAGTCTGAACATCGCGCATGATGCAGTGTCATTAAACGAGAGTGAGCAGGATAAATGTCAGGAATTCTGCGAAATTCGTATTTTGTTCTTCTGTGATTATGTATCACAGTCTGAAAGTGAGACAAAGCTGAACGCTAAACAATGTATTCGTCACGTAACTGAGAAACACTCGAGATTATGTAGACAGGAAAATGCAAGCTTGAAATTTCGTCACTGTTCTAAGGCCAGGAAGGTTGAGCATGAGGCTAGCAACTTCATCCCGTAAAATTAAACACCACGGCTACCGAAACTTCAAGTCTCTAGCTAGAAGCTCTATGTTCCACTGGGAACGTAAAAGAATAAAACAAACACTGGAGGCATCATCAATAGACTTGGTGTATACTGGACTGGCACTTACTTGATTGTATGCTTCAGCTTTTGTTCTCTGTAGTTGCCACGTAAATACGTACCCAGTTCGGACCCAATGAACTTGCCATCGCTCCTCCCTCAGGCTGACAATAGAGCATGCTTTTCATTATTACTATTACTATTATTATATCCTTTAATTCCTAGGGGAACATAGGGCTTCAGCCGCGCATCTCCATTGCCTTCGGTTTTCTGACAACTTTTCACCCCGCTCCAGGTCTGTCCACATGCTTTCATCTCCTCCTCGCATGACCTCCTCCAAGTCACCCTTGCACTGACGACCAACTCTCCGCTTCCCATTCGGGTTCCACTCGAGCAATGGCTTCTCTAGTGATGTTACTTGATGGTTTCCTCAGCGTATGGCCAATCCATCTCCATTTCTTCCCGCCCATTTGTTTCACAATCGGTTCCTGGTTGGTTCGCTCATTGCCAGAGATCCCTGTTGCTGATCTTTTCTGACCGGCCACCTGATCTTGAGTAGTATTCAGCGAAGACAACTGTTAATGAAGGTCTGTGGTTTGTTTGAGATGCTCTTTATGACGCGTCAAGTCTCTGATCGATATAGTGAGTAGCACTGACTTCACATTGGAGTTGAAACCCGGATCTTATTTTTGATGCTGAGTTCTGTTGACCTCCACACAGACTTAGGAGTAGTGAAGGCTTGTCTTGCTTTTCCGATTCTGTCTTTGATTTCCTCGTCAGTTCCACCTATAGTTGAAACGATGCTTCCCAGGTAGGTGGATAAAGGAGGTTGTTTCTTTCATGTTCCTCCCATTTATGCTGGCTGATTGTTGTCTGTTGTTGTCGCTGTGGCTGTTGCTGTTGGCCAGGAATCTTCATCACCTCTGTTTTTTCTATGTTCACTTGAAGTCCTATCTTTGATGCTTCTTCTGCCAGCTTGTTGCTTTTCACTTGCATATCAGACATATATCATCGGCGAAGTCCAGATCTTCCAATTCTTTTGTGTGAGCTCATTTTATGCCTGTTTCCTCAATGCCCGTTGTCTGTCGCATTATCCAGTCTCTACCATAATCAGGAAAATCATTGGCGATAGTAGACAGCCAGCTTGTATTACTCCCGTCTTCACTTCGAAGGCTTCCGTAAGTTTCCCGTTGTGGATTACTTGGCATGCAGTATTGTCGTAAAACTGTTGAATGAGGTATATAATTGTTGATGGCACACCACAGTAGCAGCAAAGTAGTTGTCAAGTCACCTCTCTATCATCTTTCACCTTTTATCATCCTTTACTGGCCTAATTTGTTTCGAACGTTTGCCCGATACGTGCCTAGTTGTTTGGTGGATTGTGGTGAGGTCTCCATTGCCTACAATTTATCTTGTTCTGCTTCACTTTCCATAGCTACATAATATTTTCTCTTGTCTTCCCTGGAACTCTTCTTTACTCTTTTTTCAGTATATTGTAGCTTGCATTCAGCTCCTGTTTTTGTTGCTCGTCAGTGCACTGGATAATCTTTTGTTTCACCATCCTTCTCTCTTCTATTAGTTTCCAAGTGTCCGCGGTGAGCCACTGGTTTTCCTGTCTGTTCTTTCTGCCTAGAACTTCAATGTAGGTTTGTCTCCACACCATATTCAAGTTGTCCCAGTGCTTTTTGACACTGACCTTTTCGCTGGTGTTGATTCGTGTCTCGGCTTTTTCCCTAATGCTCACGGTGAAGATATCCTTTGTAGCCTGGACCTTCAGCTTTTGAGTGTTGAAATTGTCTTTTGGTCTATCTGCAGCTCCTATTTCCCTTAAAGCTTTTAATTTGATTTGGATTCTCCCTTGTACGAGATAGTGGCCTGAGCCAAGGTCTGCTACTCTTCTTACTTTTGTGTCCAGTAGCCTGCGCCTCCACTTACAGCAGCAGTATTGAGATGAAGTCAATTTGGGTTATGGTACACCCAATTCGTGACACATATGTAGCCTTGGGAATATCTTTGTGTTAGTGTTATGTACTAGTCGAGAATTTAATAGTCCTGACGCAAGAAAGACGGAAATCAGAAGACCACTAGGTTTGCGATGATACTTCTATTTTCCAAACACAAAGAGAATCAAAATGTCACACAAGAGTGTGAGAGTAAAATATGAATGTCCGAACAAGTGTGTGAGCGAATATTCAAAATGAACAAATCAATAGACAGTCTTAACATGATTGGCTAATTATAATGGAATATCGATCCATATATACATAGCAAATATACAGACTGTCAAACAAACACACATATTATATGGATATATATCACCCAGACTGTCAAACAAACACACATATTATATGGATATATATCACCTCCCCTTTTGAGAAGATTGATGATTAGTAGGGTGTTTTCTTGGGGGTTTATCTGGAACCGTTGAGCCTGTTGTTGACGTCTGTCTGTTGGGTTTGCGGCTTCGGCTTCGTCCGGAATTGTCTGACATTTTATGCTTCTTGACTGCATTGCATAGCGAATTTAGTGGGACATCAGCCAGATGCAAACGATCGAACCAATCAAGTCCCAAAAGATTTAAATCACTCTTGGTGACGTAGCAAATTCCTGTGAATTTGGTATTGCGGAAGGAAACGGGACATTTGAGTTCACCAATAAGTTTGAGCCGCCCACCACAGGCGCTGACAAGAGTTTGGGAAGTATTTGTGATAGGTGGTCTGCCAATATCATTCCAAAGTTTCTCTGATATAACAGTAATATCAGAGGCGGTATCTAGCTGCAGACGTGCATCATGATCATTCATCTGAAGATCAAGATATTTCCGCATACCTGGTGTTGTGACTTGACAGGTTGCGACTAGACTCACTGACCTTTTTGTGGATTTAGGACCAACAGTTGGTCGAGCTTTCGCTGGATTTTGATATCTGGGTTTGCGTGGATGACAAAAGCCATTTTCATGACCGATGATTATGCACTTGCTGCAACGATGATTTTTGTATGGACAAGACTTCACAAAGTGCCACGCGCCACAATGCCAGCATGGTGATGGAGGGGTCTTCTTTGCAGTATTTTGTGAAGTTGGACGAGTATGTGTAGATTTACGCGGAACATTAGAAGGTGGGTCAGGACTGGATTATGAGAGATTTTCGCTCTTTCGTAATGCATGAATATCAGAGCTTCTCGAAGTTGTTGATTCGACCAGGTGTGTGTCTTTCTGCAGATTAATCAGCCGTTGATATTCATCAGCTATGTCATGTAATGTTAACTTAGGATTTTGTTCTAGCTGATTGAGCAGTCGAGTTCGGATATCTGTGAAACGAGGAGATTGAAGACTGCATATGAGAATCAAAACTTTGAATCGATCATCTGTTAAGGACCTGAGTCGAAATCTCTCACATTCTCGGTTGACTGTGCCAACATGAGTAAGAAAATCATCATTTTCATTCATTGTCAGCTTGAGGAAACGATAACGTATGCTGAATAATGAGGAGTGGTCTCCAAAATGTTCACGCAGCAGCTTTATTGTATCATCGAAACACTTGTCACGTGGTTTTTGGGGTAAAATTAGGTTGCAGTACCTTTCATATTCTGCAGGACCCAATTTACATAATAACACTCGCACCTTCCAAGCATCGTCTTGTGAGGCGAGATCAACAGTGAATAAATCCTCATATCGTTGATACCATGTGTCAAAAGTGGCATTCGCATCTGGATTATAATTGAACTGTGAAATACTATTCACAATGCCGTCGACAGATGGTAGCATGGTATGATTCGGATTGCTTGAAGGTGAAGCTGGACAAGTCTGTTCGTTGACGAACATTTCCATTAATTTCATTTGTCGTTCAAGTAGTAATTCCAATTTAGAAGGATCCATAGTTTTACCCTTCGCCAAATTATTGTTATGTACTAGTCGAGAATTTAATAGTCCTGACGCAAGAAAGACGGAAATCAGAAGACCACTAGGTTTGCGATGATACTTCTATTTTCCAAACACAAAGAGAATCAATGTCACACAAGAGTGTGAGAGTAAAATATGAATGTCCGAACAAGTGTGTGAGCGAATATTCAAAATGAACAAATCAATAGACAGTCTTAACATGATTGGCTAATTATAATGGAATATCGATCCATATATACATAGCAAATATACAGACTGTCAAACAAAATACACATATTATATGGATATATCACCAAAACAGCTGTCAAAACACATATTATATGGATCTGTCTGTCTGTCTGGATTCAACATAGAACTTGGCACCGAAGTGCAGCAGTTCGAGTTGCCACGTTCCAAATAGCACACAGAGGTAGACAAGAAGATGAGTGAAGAGAATCAATAGAGTTTGACAAGTATAAGAGTGAAACAGAATGGGTAATGGTAGAAAGGAATATGAAAGATTACAGAGACTGAATACATCTGCGCCATTGACAACGATTTTGAGCCATGTCACCTATTGTCTCCAGCCATTGATTCCTAGAGTCCCGAGGGCCCCAACCCGGGAGTCTGCATCTCCCTACCTGACTCAGTTTAACTGTCAAGGATTTCATGGATTGATGAGGCCATGTTTTTGTTTGGCCACCACTGGCTCTTTTCCAACCTGAACCTATATCAGCTAGCAATGCCCGTCGGGGGAGGCGGTGGTTAGGCATGCGCAGCACGTGACCTAGCCATCTTAGTCTATGTAACTTTATAGCCTCGTCGATTGATTTTCCCTCTTTGCCCAACACTCTACGCCTAACGTCAACATTACTTATCTTGTGAAACCACCTAACGTGAGACAGAGATCGCAGACATCTATGATCGAAAGCAGTCAACCTTTTCATGTCTTCAACGCGTATTGGCCATGTTTCAGAGCCATAGAGAAGGACGGAGCGAACTGATGAGCAGTACACACGTCCCTTGGTTGATAACCGGATGTCACGCCTACGCCAGAGATGGTGTAAGTCAGCGAAAGCAGCTCGAGCTTTTCGGATCCGTGCTGAGATTTCATCGCCAATCAGTCCGTTGGTGCTAATACAACTTCCCAAATAGGTGAAGTGGTCAACATGTTCTATCACTTCACTCCCTATCACTAAGTTAGGGTTGACGTGGTCCAGTCCTGTAGCAGCATCTTACATTTTGCAGGGGCGAATCGCATGCCAAACATACGAAGATTGCTGCTCAAGGTGTTCAGAAGACTCTGCATTTTGTCAGCATCCTCCCCTAACAGGACTATGTCATCTGCATATTCTAAGTCCATAAGATTATTCCCTGGTAACAAGTCGATTCCTAAGTCATTACGTTCAGTTAAGGATACTTCCATCAGCATATCTATGATGAAGTTAAACAGAAATGGGGAAAGTGGACATCCCTGTCGGACACCACATTCAGATGACAATTCCCCATAAGCCCTTACACGACTACGTGAGTTTGAATAGAGTGCCTTGATTAGTGCAATGTACTTTCTTGGCACTCCCTTCACAGTCAGACATTGCCATAGTACCTTTCGATCCACGGAGTCGAAGGCCGCCTTCAAGTCAAGAAATATGACAATTGTTGGACGCCGAAAAGTGTGTCTATGTTCTAGAATCTGTCGAAGAGTGAAGATATGATCTATGCACCCTCTACCTGGTCTAAAGCCTGCTTGATTTTCCCTTGTCTGTTCCTCCCGAGTTCTGCTTAGTCTATGCATGATTACTGAGCCTAGGATTTTAGAGACTATGTTCGTTAGGCTGATCCCCCTATGATTATCACACGAGGACTTGTTTCCCTTCTTGAATATCGGTATAATAAGTGACTTACCCCAGTCTGATGGCACTGTCTCTGATTCCCAGACTTTGCCTAGTACCTCAGTTAATCTACAAACTAGTATGTCACCCCCATATTTAAACACCTCCGGAATAATTCCGTCGGGTCCTGCCGCTTTGCCTCGTTTCAAATTACTGATAGCTTTTGTGACCTCACTACAGACGGCGGACCAGTGTCTATATCCCATTCGGGTGTGGTGGATGGGGGGGGAGGTTCAGTGTGGCTGTAGGCAAGTTAAATTGTTCCTCAAAGTGTTCTTTCCAGCGTTCAAGGCGTCTATCCTGAGAGCTAATTAAGGAGCCATTTTTCTCAGAAATAGTCTCACTTATGAATTGCCTTCTCCCACCCGATTCTGTGATGAGTCTAAAGAGTTGCCTAGTGTTGCCTATCGCCGATGCTTTTTCCATCTCTTTCGCCTTTGTCACCCACCACTGTTCACGGTCCTTGCGGAGACTTTTAGTAAGTTTCCTTTTGTGCAGCTTTCGCTCCTCATTGAATTCGGAGCTCGCCGGAATAAGTCTTCTAGCATCTATCAGTTCGGATGAGGCAGTCGAAATCCAGTGGTTTTTACTCACCTTTGGATTTGCCTTATTCACAGCTTTTACAGCTGTATCTATAGCTGACTGAATATTCTTCCAGGCTTCTCCAGGGTGAGCACAGCTGTCGAACACAGATATGCGTTTAGCTAGTTCTTCCTCAAATAGGGATTTAGTTTCCTGATCGAGCTGGGGACGTGATGGTTTTACCGCCAGCTGTTTCCTACGTCCGTTCAGTCGTAAGCACACACGAGCCCGGACCAGTGCGTGATCGGTATCTACACACGTGTTCCAGAAGGAGCGACAATCTCCTACCGACCCACGCCAACGATAGCTTATTGCTATGTGGTCTATTTGTGTCCAGCGTTGGTTTGATGATGGGGGTCGCCAGGTTAAACAGTGTCTCTCCTTGTGTTTAAAGTTAGTGCTTACAAGAAACAAATGATTATCTGAACAGAACTGTAGGAGACGGTCACCGTTGTCGGTTCGCTGGCACGGAACTCCATAGGTGCCACCGACATCCTTCTCAGATTGACACAATTTCCCTACTTGAGCGTTAAAGTCACCAGCTAGAACGACTATATCTGAGCGTTTAGCCTTTCTCACCAAACTAGACAGCTTTTGGTAGAACTCATCCTTCGTTTCATCCGAACTGCAGTCAGTGGGGGCGTAGGCGGAGATTACGAAAAGGCATCGGCGAGTAGTGCAGTCCTTTCTCCTTCTTACTGATCCGTTCAGACGGACAGCACACATTCGGCTATCTACCGGGATCCAGTCAAGCAATGTCTTTTCTGCCCTAGTACTCAAAGCTATCCCTACGCCAGCTAATCCTCGTGAACTAGCTGTGGCATCTCCTGACACCCTCAAGGTGAATTTTGAAGATTCATCCTGTTGGCCAGGTGGGGTTAGGTGAATAACCACACTTGGGTCTTGTATGCGTGTTTCTGAAACACAACATACATCAATGGCTCGGATGCCAGGGTCTTAGCTAGTGATGCTTGTTGTCCTATTTGGCAAAGTGTCCTAACATTAAATGCTCCTATATGAAATTGGTGGCGTGGCTTTAGGAGACTATCGGTGGTGGTTTTTTGGCTTCCGTCGTTTTTAGTGGACACAGAGTGAAGAGGGAGTGAGGAGCCATCAAGTAGAGGAGTTGCATCAGTGGAAGGAAGGCAAGGTAATAGAGATGAAGATGAAGACAAAGATAAGTGAGGATTAGAGAGGTTTTGTGTGCATTTCGGATTGTGAGGGCGATTGTTACTTCCCGGCTGCCCACACCGTGGAAGTTGGTTGCGTGACCGCAGAGCCCAGGGGACAACTGCTTGAGGCCGGTCACACGCGGCCTGTTTTTGTTTGTTCTCTTTTGTTTGGTGTGCCTCAGTAGCATACTTATCACTCCTGCCCTGTGACACGGCAGCAGGAAGCGCGGTCGTTGTTAATCCGGGCCACGGCCGATCCGGCATGAAATTTTGTGAATTTGTTTGAATCATGGTATTGGATGGGTAGCTGCTTTTTGTTTAACCGCTATCCAAACAACCTGCCTGGCATGGTAGAACCTCAAGAGACATAAGTCTCAGCCAGTATAGCTTGATTAGGTCATTGCGGTGTTCAAGCCCGACCACCACGTCAAGGTAGCAGCTTTCGGTCGGGTATTATATGGATACATATCAGAATTCTTCGCCTTCAACGAACTAGTGATTGGTGGCAGCGTATACTATCTTATATGGATACATATCAGTTAGTATACGCTGCCACCAATCACTAGTTCGTTGAAGGCGAAGAAGTTGGCGAAGAATTCTCCATTTTTATTCATTTCTCCGAGAGCTTCTCTACCCGCGATGAGTTCCCTTCCTGTGTTGTCTGGTCCCAGTTTGACGTTTATGTCTCCCATTAGTATTTTAATGTCGCCAGCTGGAGTATTGTCCATTGTTGCCTGTAGTTGTCTGTAGAATTCTTCTTTCTTTTCGAGGTCTGCGTTGTTTGTGGGTGCATAACATTGTATAATTGACACTTTCCTTCCTTTGGAGTTGAATCTGGCAGTCATTATCCTGGACGAGATCGCCTCCCATTGCATCAGGGCCTTCAATGCCGTTGGTGACATCATGATAGCCACTCCCTCGGTGTGCGTGTGGTTATCTTCTGGGTAAGCGGAGTAGATCACTGAATCACCCGTTGACAATTTGGTGAGTCCATTCCAGTTCCATCTACTTTCCCATATTCCCAGTACTTGGATTCCGTATCTTTTCATCTTGTTTGCGATCTGGGCAGCTTTTCTAATCTCGTACATGGTGCGACGTTCCATGTCCCCACACCGACTTTTCCTTTTGGTGCAAAAAGGTTTATCGTGCTGAAGTTTCTGTAACAATTTTGTTTACGGGGTGGGGTTGCTAGCCTTACGCCTGAGAAAGGAATTGTTACATTAAGATAAAGTTTAGAGAGAATCGACCTTGTAGGTTGCCCCACCAAAACCGGAAAACAAGGGATAAAACTATCAGAACGACACCAGCAAAGGGAAAATAATTCACAGCAAAATGGGCAAAAAGCGACAAC